TGACGACGCACGCGTGGGACAATGTCACAAAAGTGATCAGAAGACTTAGCCTCATCATTATTTATAGCTGCTATAGAAGGGGTGCACATCTTCACGAGCCGTGTAGAAAAAGGAAGAGTGTCATCCAGGTCTGAGTCTAGCCCAATAGGGGTAACATGGCCGATGTCCACAGTACTGAGAACATCAACAACCGAGGGATCAAAAGATGGAGTAGGGTCCTGTACAACAAGGAAAGTAAAGAGTGTTCATTTAAAAAGATATGGTCATGAGAGGAAAAATAATTACAAATCAACGGAAGAACTAACATGTTTATCTAGTACCTGATAGAGCCTTTTAGAAGGGCGAGGAGTAGAAGGACTGGCATCGGAAGCCCGCTTATAGGCCATCTTCTTGAGGCGAGTCATTCGAGGACCAGAAGCCTTATTCAGAGGGATTGGCTCTGGGACAACAATTGCCAAGTTAGAAGTAGATGTCTGAGCTGGAGGGTCAGTCGAAGCAGATGAAGTAAAGAAGCTCTCATATATATGATCAGATTTTCGACTCTCAGGTAGCCAGAGAGAGGAGTCCTTCTTATAAATCAGTAGAGATAGACATATAGTCGACTTACTCTAGACAAACTCAATAAATGCATCAATGTTCTTCCGCCAATATCTCCTAAAAGAGAGGTAAAACCCTCTACTCGGCTTAAACCCGGCATTGTGAAAGAGCCAGATACAAGAAACATGGCGTGTACAAGTCCACGAGTAAAGTGCCCATAGTTTTTCGAAAAAGACAATAAAGGAGGTGCTGGCCCCGGGGCACACTAGTCAAATCCAAATTGGCATGCTTCTTTGTCAGGTTTACAGACGGTGCTATCAAGGTCTTCCTCATGCCATACTGGTAACGAATTAGGATGAACCATTATCAACATATCAACAAGATGCGAAGAAATGCCCTTTGGCAAGGGAAATGACATTGGTTGGGAGGAACCATGATAGATAAGTGGTGTCGCCACACCCACTAGTGGGTATACATAGGGGCGTGCCACAAAGCGCCGAGGATCATCCACCAAGTATTCAACGATATGGTGGAAATAACACGTGACCAACGTATGATCAACGGTTAGAAGGTCTTCACATTCTCAAATGTGCAAAACCCGTCATTACCGAGCACGGGGATGCTCTCTTTATCCACTATCTCCCGAAGAATTTCTGCCTCAAATACAGTCGGAGTAGGGGCAAACTTTGGAAACCTCTCAAAAAAGAAGCACAGCAGGAACTGACTGTGGATGAAAAAGATAAGCTCATACTGACCCACAGAATGTACCATGTCTCGATGTAGTAGATCTAACCGGTAATAAAGATTCCTAAGAAATAGTGGGGCCAAGGGGATCCGATCCCCTTTGAAGAATCTAACTGCCAATGGGAAGACAAAAAGATTGAGAGAATCTGGAGGTGTGCTCGGAAGAATGAAGAAGGAGAGGAAGCAAACCAGAAATCCCAGAAAATAGAGCCTAGAGCCATACATCGGGCCGGCCTTGTACTCTTGAGAACCAGGGTCAGCATCTCTAGCCAGAGGCTAAAGATCTCTGAAGAAGTGGTGGATCCACACGGTGTAGGAGGCACGGTCCATCCTCACTCTTTTGGTCCTTCTCACTGAACTATCACATACAGAGCTCCACCGACCACAAGATTGAAGATTTTGCTTTAGGGATTGGATTAGAGAATCATCCTCAAGGGATATTCGCTCAGGGCAAAAGGCCTTAGGGCTAGTCACTTCTAGGCGCAACAACATGAACACATTCTCGAGGGTGGGCCCCATCTCATGCTGGCTAAGTATGAAAATGTGTGTCTCGGTGCTCCACCGGAGAGCCATGGCTTCAAGGCTAGCATTATTGCGGTGAATAGACAAAGATCGAGATATCTTCACTGGAATCAATAACCGGGCCTCCTGAAGCCTCTGACAGAGGCCCTTGTCCAAGAGGACATCATCAACCCATTTCTGCCAGCCAAAGGGAGGATTGGAGAAAGCCTTGAAGTGGGGATAACAGTAAGGAAAATCCCTTCAAAGAAGGAGAAATGAGGGCCCCATGTCTAAAATCAGTGTCCTTAGAAAGACACAATAGAGTCCCCCTTGGAGATGGAAGAGAAGCGATGGAGGTAGCCGCTCGCCAGAACGGGTCCTTTTGGCTAAAATAAGAAGATTTCCTCTATTCGGACGCCGAAGACACATCTATCTCTTTCATAAGAGCCGTTTCTGATGGCCTTGGGAAGACGGATTTCTTTCGAGAAGACATATAGTTGAAATAACAGGCATAAACATCAAAGAGTCGACCGTATAAAATTTAGAATATTGGAATTGAAGTAACACCATTAATAAGAATTCAAATGGAATTTTGGCATCAACTGTCTATTTCTTGGGGTATCCACAAGCCCAATGAATGACCATATATGGTTCTAAGAGTTATCATGGCGTCATTCTCTCAAGTAAAGCATCCATGGGGTATTAAATATTCTATTTATACCAAATTCAGCAATACGGGTTCGAGATTCAACGGCAGGGGTCAAATAAATACATAGGCAGTAAATCCTTAACATCCTCAAGTTCAGCAAATTGCAATATCAATGTGTGTATCATCAACATTTAGATTTCAAGTTTCTATCATCAACGAGAGTGCAATGCTACCAGCCATTTTGTAATGGAATTCAAGCAGGACATTTTCTCACATTACAGTATTTCATATTAAAGATCCAGCTTATACAGGGCTCGGACTTTGGATAGGGTAAAGTTCAATAGCAAGTATCAGACCTAAGATTTGAAGTATTTTATATTTCTCATCCGTAGCAAGATTCATTAGATTGTCATGCAAATTACAAGAATATTTATCTCAAGTCAATGTTCATAGCCCATAATATCTTTTGACAAGTTTCAATTCAGAAAAACCGTTTAAACAAATCACACAGCTTATTTGAAAAGTGCAAAGCCCAAACAAGCAGTGGTTCAATTTATATAAGCAATGCCCAAAAAATCAAGCTCAATATTGAACAGAATCTTATTGGGCCTTTTCCCAATAATAAAGGTTAACAAGCTATATTGAAGTCAAGTCCCTTAATAAAGTTTCAAATGCTACAGCATATTTCAATATTACAAATCTCAATAGATCAAAGCTCCTAAGCTAAACAAAAATCCACTGGAATTATAGATTCTGAAAATGGGTTTTCCACAAAAAAGCTTCCACCAATTTTTTTTAAAAAAAATTCGAAATGTTTACCCACAGATCTTAGAAAGCAAAGAGCAGATTCAAAGAAACAATGATCAAGAAAGAGATGGAGAATAATGCAAACTGAAGATGAACGATGCTAGGCAAGACCACACAGGTTGCGTTAAGTGGGCAAACGTGCATGGTCGGCGTTGGACGAGCAAGGCTGGAAGCAGCGGTGGTGCCGCAGCGGAGTTGGTGACTACACACAACGCGTTGAGTGGGCGACGTGTGTGATTGGCACTGGAGTAACAATCAAGACCGGCCGACAGTGGGTTGGCGATGAAGTGGCAGCAGAGTAAGCCAATAGCAAGCGGCGTTGGGCAGTCGAGGTCGGCGTCACAGGTGACGTCGTAGAGGAGCAGTGATGACACCGTTAGTGGCTCTCGAAAGCCAGAAGCAACAGTGACGTTATAGAGACGTCGGCGTCGGTGTTAGTCGGCGAAATCGAGCTCTGGAGAGTCTGGATCTCTGAGGAGTTACGTTGCTAGGCTAAAATAAAGCACCGACTGTGAGGTAGAGCTGGTGACGATATGAAATAGCACCATCTGGGGTCACGACGACCGCAGTAGTCGGAACTGGAACAAGTCAGTGGCTAGGTCGTGGCGGCAGTCGGCGTTGGGACAGGTCGGTGGTGTTGCTTGGCTCTGCGATAACAGTCAGTGTGCACACGGCATTAGCCTCTTGTTTGTTAAAGAAAAAAAAGCAACCTGGGTTGGTCTCTCTTTTAAAAAGAGAGAGAGAGGGCTGAGAATAGGGTTTGTCAAAAAAAGAAAAATAAGAAAGCTGGGTGGTCTCGGCAGAGAAAGAAAGAGCTGAAATGACTGTATCAAAAAGAAAGGGGCTATTGATTAAGGTTTTGTCATTTTCCTTAAAAAATAATAAATAAATAAATAAAAAACAGGTGTGTTGCCTGGAATATTTCCTCAAATATCTATATAACAAAACAACTCTTTTTTTTTTTTTTGGATGGGACTTCTGTCTGTTTGTCAAAATATGAACCATTGGATTGAACTCAATCCAAAGGCTCACAATGTCTCACTCTATTTGATCCAAGATCATTTTCAACCCACAGCCCGTCTCTCAGACACACACTCTCATCTCTTTGTTTCTGATTTCAAATTTTGAAATCTGACCCACCTTCTCTCTCTCTCTCTCCCCATCAACCCTTGCAGGCAACCGAACCCAAAACCCCTATTAGTCTCTTCATCTTCTCTCTTCCTCCCTTCTCTCTTCCTAATCATCATCTTCTCTCTTCCGACCGAATGGATCAACTATATATATGACTCAGAGATGGGAGATTCAGAGATTCAGAGATGGGACCGAATGTATGTATATATATGCATTTGTATGTATTATGTATGATTATGTGATTTTATATATGATTATGGATGATTATGGATGTATATGTATATATATGTAGATTTTATATATAGATTTTATATATGATTATGGATGTATATGATTCCAATATGGGGTGTTTGTTGGATCGAAGTGAGAGTTGTTTTGAATGTTACGACATTATATGACTAAGAGATGGGAGATTCAGAGATTCACATTAAATGTGAGATATTAGTTTTGAATGTTAAATATTCTTGGGAATGATCATGATTATGATTCTGCCATTAATTTCTGCTTAACTATTTTGAGTGGAGCTGGGGCAGTTCATTTCTTGAGTGAATCTTTTGAATAATCGGTGGCCCAAATTTTAATGTCTCATCAGATGATAATCAATGTAATCAACTTTTTTTTTTCCTTTTTTTTTTGGGAGAGGGGGGTAATGGGTTTGGATTTTTATCTATCTGTGGTTTAGAAAAATAATGAAAAGATGAGAATGTGTTTTTTTTCTTGAAAGTCATATTTTGGATTGTACCTACCCAAAAATATTTTGCATTGAATTTTCATTTTCTTGAATTGTACAATGGCAAATTATCGATTCTCTCTCTCACTTGATCATCTTACAGATAGACACTTGCAATGGTTTTTACTGCGAAGCCTTCAAACCGAAAAAAGAGCCATAACCCAAAAATGTGGACTGAAGCTTGGACTGGCTGGTAAGTCACACATATGTCACCCATATAACTTAAAAACTTTTTTTTTCCCCCTATTTCTTTGTTGTTTTAATTATAAATTGTTTCATCATTCAAACAACGGAACGCAGTTACATTTTTTCTGAATTTCTTAATTCAGTCTTTGGATTCCTCTGTTTTATCCTCAGGTATACAAAGTTTGGTGGTCCAATTCCTCAGAGACCTATTGAAGACTTGGCATTTTCAGTGGCAAGGTTTATACAGAATAATGGTTCCTTTATTAATTATTATATGGTGAGTTAATTCTTAATTGTATGTTTATCTTATATCAAGTAAAGTATATTTTTTATATTTCTTTTTTTTTTCTTTCATTAGTACCATGGAGGAACAAATTTTGGACGGACGACTGTTGGTCTCTTCATTGCCACTAGCTATGATTATGATGCCCCAATTGACGAATATGGTATGCATACACATGAAAATAACTTTGCGGACTTGGAGCATTCCGGGATCAACCAACCAGAATCATGAGTGGGATTAGAACCCAAACAAAGGGCCTGAATCCCGAGGACGAGGGGTGGAGATGAATTCACTCATCGGTTAATTTGGCCTATATTCGGGTCGAGGTGGCATGAACCTGGGGGGTCCATGAGACTCAGCAATATTTAGCGGCGGAGGGTCCTCTAGGACTACCCTAGCTCTACCTCACAAGGTGGTTAGAGAGAATATTCCCCATGTGCCTAGCACATGGGCTCCATCTTACATCATGAGGTGCCTATAAATAGCACCCACTCATAGCTTTACAAGGGATGGATTTTGGAGAGACAACTCTTGGGAAAGAACTAATTTTCCTTCTCCATTATCAACCTTGAGAGTGAAAGTGAGAGATCCATGGGAGAGCCTTGTCATTATTCTCTTTCTAATTACTTTGCCTTTTTCTTCACCTAATCTCTTATCTCTATCATCTCTTTGCTTTTGTGTTCCTAGTTGTGACTGTTGAGGAATCTAAGCCTCTCATCATTTCTAAGAAAATTTGAGTTTTCTTCAAAGATTTTCGAATTTTTCAACAATGTTCTTGAACCCTCTCATACATAATTGTAATTGACTAATGAGATAGAGGTTAACGTGGTGATAGAAACGTTTGAATTTTATGAGCTATGTATTCAAGTAAATTTAAAGGAAATGAATGAAAGTAATTTGAGATATGCTTGTTACGTGTAATGTGTTGTGCTATATAGAGGTATCGTTTTACTTTCTGGCTAACAACCGGTAAAGTAGGGTTGTTTAGGGCTTGGCGAGACCACGGAGGTGTATATGTATTTGAGATTCATCGTTGATGTATGTATATGTGTTGAGATCCTTTGTTGATGGATGTGTGAATTGAGAATTAATTTAGGTTATGTATAGCATCATAATTAATTATAGGTTATGTGTGTTGTGATTCATTATAGTTGTGTAAATGTATATATATAAATGTTGAGGCGAAATGAAAATACTTTTCAGGTAATCGTGTATTTTAAAATTATAAATGGGAAATTGGCATATTATATAAGTATAATGTGGAGTATCATGATTATATACATGTATGAAGTATATCAATTGGAATTAAAGAATTTGCTTGTTAAAATATTTTTAGGTATTGACGATGAACTATGACCATGAGTTGGCATGGAAATGAGTCCGAGCTAGAGAAGCCTTTGGATAATGGCCGCGGGGCCTTTAATTGTAGGTAGAATTCTATATGTGTATTGAGGGTTATTCCCTTTTCTTTTGTTGATATATGCCTAAGGGCACTTTAAATTTTATTATATTCAATGACTCTCATGTATTGAATGGTTATCATATGTATGGATTTATTTGAGAGAGACTCCATTTTATTATGATTATTACTGCTCTGTTATCTCCATTTGAGTTTATTTATTTTGGGTCGGATCATATATTTTGACAGCGTTACATATTTGACCCAGTCTCTAATACCTCTCGACGATTGATTTGCGTTTATTTTAGTTTGAATGATTCATTCTAGGGATCTTAGATGCATAGAATTAAGAAATGTAGTTTTGCTTTTGGGGAACATTGGGTCATCTGGGGTGATTTAAATGACATTCTTCAAGTTGCGGAAAAACGAGTGGGCTGTCACTGATCATTTTAGTCTTTTTCTACTTTTCAGTCTTTCGTGGATGGTTATGGTTTGCTTGATTTGTGTTTCCATGACTTTCCATTCATTTGGCACAACAACATAGAATCAAAGGGCTATATTGTTGAATGTCTCGATCGAGTTCTTGCGAGTGCAAATTGGCAGCTTAGTTTTGATCGTGCCACAATCACTCATTGCAACTGTGTTGGTTTTGATCATAATGGTTTGATTCTGGATCTCTATCCGCAAACAGCAAAATATCGGTCGTGGTTCAAGTTTGATTCTAGATGGGTTGGTGAGAGAGATTGCGAAGTTATTATCCAATGCAATTGAGATATTGATACTTCGAGCTCATGTATGTTTGAGGTTGTTCATAAGTTGCACCAATGTTGAGCTAATTTATGTTGGAAAAAATGATTTTTTGGTGACTTTAATTTAATATTAAAGTGTGATGACTTTAATTAAATATTAAAGTGGGTCCCATCCATCTATGTGTTGGGTCCAAGTGGGCCAAAAACCATTGAAATTTGAATAAGAAATTGCCTCATGATGTTAGATTCATGAATGAGATTTTAAGGGTATTTAAATCTTTTTTCTTGGCTAAAGGGTGTAAACCCATTGGGCATCCAAACTTTTCATCTTTCTGGAAAGAGGTTATGGATCCTAGTTAATGGGGCTTTAATGACCAGCCATAAAGGCTGGTGACTCTTCCTCTCTCCCCTATACATGTATAAATTGAAACCCCCTATCAAGTCTCAATATAGAAATTTTTGCTTCCATTTTACAAGTCAGTTTGCCAGAAAGTTCCTACTGTGAGAGAGTGCTGCCACTGTTTTTGTTCGCTAAGCTAGACAGAGAGTGCTTATGTTGTAGCTGGTTTTTGACCGTCGTATCCTGGGAGACAGACGTCGGGATTCCTCAAGCACTCGACCCGTGAGGCGGCGAAATCTGTTTTAAGGAAACTACTACCGTGCAGGCTTCGGTTTGGTTTCTTTATCATTTTATTATTTTGTATATTTCTGTTGAAATTTAGTTGTAATTATCAGCATATGTTCTCGGTATATAATTTTGATTTCTTCATAAATTTATTTATTTAATTTCACAATTTGAACAACAAGCTTAAAACAGATTTTTATATATTTTCTATGAAATTGATCAAATATATTTATATAGACAATTAGGTTAGCTTTGTATAATGTTACTAGGAACTGTTGCGGAATTGCTCACTGTTTCAATGATTGTAAATTATGCAATGTTATTCTCTAATTGCTTAGTTTAATTAGAATGCTCTATCATAATTTGCATACTTAATTGTATTAGTATGATCTTATTTTATGTGTATGGTTCATCATTCCCCTACCATGATTTGCATGAATTTTAAGGTTATAAAATATAATTTATGGATGTTGCAATTTTGACAGGTTAATTCTATTCTAGTTTTTAATTTGTTACATGCTTATTATTTTCTAGACTAGATTACATAATTTAATGTTAATTGCTAAATGGTTATTGGTTTGTAACTCTTGCCTATTAATTTTAGTTTAATGTATTTGGAGTTATAGAGTTTTTATGAATTGTGTACATGATTAATTTGAATTAATTGGGTGCATTAATCTAAATTTTCTAATTGGGTGCATTAATGTGAATTATCTAATTGGGTGCATTAATGTGAATTATTTAATTAGGCGCATTAATCTAAATTATCTAATTGGGTGCATTAATGTGAATTATTTAATTGTGTGCATTAATCTATATTATCTAATTGGCTGCATTAATTTGAATTATTTAATTGGGTGCATTAACTTTGAATTTAACTTATTTATTTGGAGTTATTAGTTTAAATGTTTATTATGAATTAATTTCATTCATAACTCATGAGTATTGAACTTTATTTTAAAGTTTTAATTTAATTGGCATTTTAATTTATTGGTTAATTTTATAAATAATTGGCTAGATGGTTTCAATTATTTATTATATTTATTTTTTGCTTAGATTATTTGTTTGTATTTTGTTGTGATTTTTTCTGCTAACTTTCTTTACAGGAATACTTATGCGAAAGGGAATGGAAAATCAAATACAAAACCGAATGAATAATATTTGGGATGTAAAAACAAAAATGTTTGGACTACTAACTTTTGTGTTGAATAGGAATACCTAAGCGTGGAAAGGCTTTTGGACTAAATAGAATCCTTATTGATTGACTATTTTATTTAAATGTTTGAAGCATGTTTTGTTTGAGATTTAGTTGGTTTGTTTATCAATTTGTAGTAGCAAGTTTTATTTGTTTGTTTTGTTAGAAGCATTTTATATGCGTGTAATTGTTATAGCAAATTTTTAAATTGCTTGTAAGTTTGGAACTTGGTTTGGCTTTCTGTAATAGAAACCAAAGTTTTAACTTTGGCTAAAGAGTAGTTCTTATTTGTTCAGAAATGACAACTAAGATGGATTTGGTTTCAAACTTTTGGAGTTTCAGGAAGTCTTTGGGTTTAATCATTTTATTCCCAAAGTGTTGGAAAACCGTGTTTGGAGAAAGTCTTTGGTTATAATCTGATTATGTCCAAAGTGTTTTGGTTTTGAAAAAGGAAACCAAATTTTAGCATTAGCTAAAATATTTCTGATTTTATTCAGAAATAATGGGCTTAGTTCTGGGAGTACCGGTTAACTTTTTTGAGTGGTGTAATTCTGGTAGCAAATTTTATTTGCTTGGAAATCGGTTTGTTATAACCTGGTTTATCCCCTGGAAATCTTAATTTTAAAATTGTTTCCTATAGACTAGGAGTCAACATGCTCTTGGATGTTTTGTTAAAAGGTTAACTGGGTTTTAAGTGGGACTGATGTGACCCCTCCAGTCTTCCTGGGAACATTCATGACCATGTTCGATTCTAGGTTAAATGGTGAGACTAGTTTTGAATTAAATTTCCATCTGAGGGATTTTCTAAGAGTTAAGTTTAATTTCTGAAATCACAGAAGTGAAATTCAGTTGTGATGTTTCAGAAATGGCTTCAAAAGGTGACAAACAGAAATGTTGTTCCATCTGACAACTTTAGCCTCACGAGATTCTTAAAGGAAGTTCTTGAGAGATCAAGTGTGATTAAAGGAAATCATAAGATTACATTAAAATATCTCTGAATTGATCATAGGCAATTTGTATGGTATCCTTGTGTTATTTATAGCATTTATGATTGCTATGTGACTTTGCTTGAAAACAAAGTTGAGACAACCTGTTATAGTAGGTGAATATTTTTTGAATTTTTAAATTCCAAATATATTCTTAAATTGGTGGCTCCTAGTGAGTACAAGATCACTTATCACAGAGATAGAAAACTGGTGGTTCCTAGGAGGTGTTAGACCACTGGCTACACAGTTATGAGATTGTGGTTCCTAGTAGTGAACA